ATGACCCTCTATGAGATGGATTGATTCGGTGACTGGGGTAATCGGGATGGGTGTGTCAGAGGCAGTGCAGTTGGCGCTGGATAGAGCAGGGTTTAGAGCTGTTGTGCATAGGGTCGCTATGAGTCGGAAACGACTAGATGGCACATAACAACAACAACAACAACAAGACTAAATATCACCTCTTCTCAAAGAAGAATATGAAGTAAATTATCAGCAAAATGATATGATGAAATATGTATCTTGCTATTATTAATTATATCTGTTATTTTTGGTCTGTCAATTTATTGTACTCTTGAGAATATTATTTTTTATACAGATAAGTGCCAATTATTTTAATAGAGACAACTCCCAATTATTTAAATAGTGTAGAATTAGAATTCTGCTATCAAATATATATGTTTTTTATTGTATGTGCTTTTGAGTCACCTGTGACTCATAGTAACCCTATGTACAACTGCCATGTAACCTGCTCTATTCTGTGCCAACTTTACTGTCTCTCAAACACCTGCCCTCATTACCCACTGTATCAATCCATCTCATCAGCGGCCTCCCTGTCTTTCTCCACACATCCACCGTTCCAAGCATGATGTCCCTCTCCAAGGACCGGTCCCTCCTTGCAGCATGCCCAAAGTATATCAGTCAATGCCTCAGAATTCTTGACTTCAAGGAAGTCTGGCTTAACCTCCTCTAGGAAGAACCTGTTTATTCTCCTGGCAGTCCATGGCGTATTCAATACTGTTCTCCAGCACCACAGCTCAAAGGCATCAATTCTCTTTCTATCATCCCTAGTCAGGGTCTAGCTTTCTGACGCATAGCAAGCAATTGTGAAGACTATAGCCTGGATCAAGTGCACCTTACTCTCCAGACTGATTTTATTTCTCTTCAATACTCTGGAGAAGTCCCTGACAGCCAATTTTTCCAATGCAATTCATCTCTTGATTTCTTGGCTGCTGTGATTGTGGAGCCAAGTAAACTAAAGCTGTTAACAATCTCAGTCCCTTCACCATGTACCATAGTGCTGTCAATTGGCCCATTGGTGAGAATCTTTGTCTTCCTGATGTTGAGCTTCAGTCCATATTGAAGGCTGCAGTCCTTGATCTTCTGCAGCAAAAGCTTCAGATCCTCCTCTGTTTCAGCAAGCATGGCTGTGTCATCTGCGTAACACAGGTTGTGATGAGTCTTTCTCCCATCCTGGTGCCACATTCCTCCTCATATAGCCCAGCCACCTGGATGATCTGTTCTGCCTGTAGATTGAAAAGGTATGGGGACAGAATGCATCCCTGGCATACGTTCTTCCCGAATTTAAACCATGCAGTGTCTCCTTGCTCTATTCGGACAACTGCTTCATGGTCCAAGTATAGGTTTCACAGAACCACAATCAAGTGTTCTGAGATTCCAATTCTTTTCAGAGTCAGCCACAATGTGTTGTGACCCAGGCAGTCAAACGCCATTGCACAGTCAATGAAACACAGATAGGCATTCTGCTGGTTCTCTCCATTTAACGTCAACTATAATACTCTTAGCTATAAAAGCCTCTTCTAAACCAGGCTGTACATCTGGCAATTTCTTGTTGATGTACTGTTCCAGTTGTTTTTGTATAATATTCCACAGAATGTTCTCTCTCCTCTTTGTCTATCATCTATCTATATATTATCTATCTCTATAGCTATCTATCTATCTAGTCATGTAGTGTTTTACATGTTCTTTGATGATTTTTTTTATATATATATTCCCAATATTTCCCATATATCAATAAATTATATCTGTATTTGTGTATTTATATATCACTTTAATGCCCTTTAAGTTTAAAAAAAATTCTAAGTAAGCAATCTTATTTAAGGTAATTAAATCTTACTGACTTAGAGATTCATGTATATTCATTGACATGGTGTCAGAATTGATTTATAGCTGACCTTCCAGAAGGTTTCATTGGCTGTAAATGGCAAAGGAGGAGAATGTTTTATCTTTCTTGCCCATGGAATAGCAGGTGAACTTGAACTGCCTGCCTTTGTGTTACCAGCATAAGTCTCTATCCACTAGGCCACAGGTGGTTGCTTGACTTAGTCATGTTGTTGTTGGGTGCCGCAAAGTCAATGACAACTCATGGTGAGCCTAAGAGCAGTTTGAAGTTTCTCTATCCTGCACTAGCCTCACTGTCTCTCATTTACTCAAGCTTATGTCATGGTCACTGTGTCAGTCTCTCTTGTTGGGGTTCTTCCTTTCTTTTTCTAACCCTCTAACTTTTCTAGCATAATGCCTTTTTTCTCAAGGACTAGCCCCTCCTGACAACATTTCAAACATATATGAGATGAATTTCAACATTCTTGCCTATAGGAGCACCCTAATTACACTCCTTCCAGGAGAAACTTGTTTGCTCTTTTCGCAGCCCATAGAATATGCAATACTCAATTCAAAGATTTCGATTCTTTCTCAATGTTCCTTACTTATTCACCAACTTTCAGATACATAGATTAGGCACTTCTTTGTCTTTAAACTGACATCATTGCCCTTTAGCACTTGAAGAGCTTCTTGACAGCAGATTATCCCAATGCCAGACATGTTTGGATTTCTTGTGATACTTAGATGTTATTTTTGGATACAAGTTAAATAATCAACAACTTCAGTTTCCGCCCCCCCCCCCCCATTATGATGGTCCAGTGGTGTGGATTTTTGTTTCCTTCATGTTGAGATGTAATCCATACTATAGGGTGTAGTATTTGATTTTCTATAACAAGTGTTTGAAAGCATCTTCACTTTCAGCAAGCAAGCTTATATTATCTGCATAATGCAGGCTGCTGACATAGAAATAAGTAAAGTTATGCACATCCAAAAACTTCGCCAACAAGGTAAAAAGGGAAGCTACAGATTGGGAAAAATTATTTCATAATGACATGTCAGACACGGGACTTATCTAGAATTTATAAAATACTCAAGCACCACAATAAGATAAAGGCAAATAACCCAATTGAAAAATGGGCACAGGATATGAACAAACACGTCACCAAATAAGACATTCAGATGACCAAAAAAGCACAAGAAGAAATGTTCAAAATACCTAGTTCTAAGAGAAATTCAAATAAAAGCAACTATGAGATATCATCTAACCCCAAGAAGAATAGCAAAACTTAACAGAACAGCAAACAATAAATGCTGGCGAGGTTGTGGAGAAATGGAAACCCTTGTTTACTGTTGGTGGGAGTGTAAAATGGTGCAACCATTATGGAAGGCTGTATGGTGCTTTCTCAAAAAGTTGCAAATAGAAATACCATTTGACCCAGCAATTCCACTACTGGGAATTTACCCTAAAGAAACCATAACCACCACACAAGCAGATATATGCACACACATGTTTATTGCAGCTTTGTTCACAATAGCAAAGAGCTGGAAACAACCACAGTGCCATCAATAAATGGATGGATAGAGAAGCACTGGTATTTTCACACAATGAAATACTATGCAGCATTGAAAAACAAGGAACTCATGAAATACTATGCAAAATGGATGACTCTGAAGGACATTATGCCAAGTGAAATATCTAAGTCACAAAAGGACAAATATTGCATAGTGCCACTGTTGTGAAATGGGACTGACATTGGGGTTGCGGGAAGACAGAGAAGGAAAGGATGAATGATGTATACTGCATTGAAACAGATGAGGGAGAGAACTGTTTAAAAGGGATATGTGATTAGGTATTATTGTCATGACAGGAGTCCAGAATGAAGGCTGCACAGTGGAGTGGACTTGGCAGGAGAGATTGCATAACAATGAAAGAATTTTTATTTTACTTTTCAGGGAGAAGAGTGAATTGGGGGAGAGGGAGTGGGCAGGAAGAAAAGTGAAACAATGAATGAATGGAAATCCTAAGTCTCTGTAAACATTAAATTAATGTTTTTCATTGCTGCCATCAACCAAAGCTTTCATTAGTTTCAGAGGTTGGAGAGAGAGAAAGAGAGAGTCTATTGACCTCTGGCCTAATAGATAATATACTGGTCTCTGGGTCGAGAGAACTGAAGACTCCTCTCGCTCTGCCTCTGGCTTTGTGCCCTTGAGCATGTGACATCTCCTATTTAGGTCTTCATTTATACAGCGAACAAGAAAGTTTCAGTGTTTTTTGTTCTAAGATTACATGGTTCTGTGTTACAGGATTTACTCTCTCCTGAAGGCACTGATACATTCTCTTGGATTAATAGGTGTCCAGAGTCCACGAGGCCAGAGACAGTTCGCCCATGCCTCCTCCCATGCAAAAAGAACTGTGTTGTAACGGCATTCAGCGAGTGGACTCCCTGCCCAAGGGCGTGCCAGCCAGGTAGGCAGATGCTGTGCTCTTCCTGACCATCTAATTATTTGACCATGATAATAATAATAATAATAATAATAATGAGATTAGAGATGTGAGTTCTATCCTTTTCCATTTTCATATCATGCTGTCAGTGGGCAACAAGATTTGTAAAATCTAAAAAAAAAAATTTTGTAAAATCTGTAAATGAAACCTCCAATTTCAGAAGCATCCTAACTTGGAAGGGAAAATATATTCAGTTATTATATGTCATAACTTCACTGGCATATGTTGCTTAAGTACTTGTCTTCTGGCAGCCCTGCTGTGGCTGTTTGAACACCCATTCAACTGTGATTCAACAAAATTCTCTTTGGGGCTCCCATGTACTTAAAAAGCCAAATCTCAAATACCTTCATTAGTATCTAGGATCATAAATTCTTTGCTTATATTATGGATAAATATAGGAACAAACAAACAAAAAATACCCTAATTATCTCATTGGTTCCCTGGGGATTCTGACTTATGGCAAGTCCATGTGTTAAAACCTAGAACTGTTCAATGGGTCTCATTGACTGAAATCTTTATGGAAGCAGATTTCCAAGCAATTCTTCTGCTGTGTTTGTTTCTCTGAGGATTTGAGCTGTCAACCTTTAGGTCACTAATGGAGCACAAAGCATGTGTGTCACTCATGAGTCCACTAGTAAATATTTTGTTATTTATCACTGAGTCAGGTGAAATCCATGTGTATAATCTACGTTTATGTCTCTTAAAAAAAGTATTTGCAATGAATAAGTCATTGTGAAAAATTCAATCATTCTATCTCCAGCTTCATTTCTGTCACCAAGTCCATGTTTTCCAACTACTAATTCTTCTTCCCTGTTCCCAACTTTTGCGTTC